TTATCATTTCATACTTATTCCAGACATGGTAGTGTACAAGCCTTATCAAATAGCCAACAACTGGTAAGGTTTGCACCTGTTTTATTACTCACTTCTATGTACACAAGACCCTTCAAGAGATTAGTACTTTTGTATTATTCAAGGAATTCCATGCTTAGCAACACTAAACCTTTACCATTCATGCAGATCTGAATCACAAACCATTCTAGGATTATAAAGCATGAATATTAACAACGTGTTATGCTTAGCAACACTGAAAACCTTACTATCCATACAGGTGCAAATCCAAAGCCTTTCATGAATTATAACACATAGATATTAGCTATATTAATCATGATAGTTGTTGAAAAAATAGCAATAACAACAGTGAAAAGAGATATGAAATGCTGGTACATTCAAATCTTACAAAATTCTAAAATAACATTTCTCATATGTCTCTTGAACTCTCCCTCTTTTACCCAACATCCAGAAAGTACAATTTAGCTAGGCAGAATAAAAACACTATACTTTATAGTTCTTAAAACATTTAACATAATAGTAAGTAAAAGCTTGAAAAATATGTTCATCACAATATTTCAGAATCCTAATGATCTCTAATAATCTCTATATCTATCTCTCTTTCTCTGTTTTTCTATCTCTCTCTCTGCTCTTGATTGAGTTGCCGCATCTTTTGTGTGCAAACAAGCAAATCTCATAGAATTTACTATGTGCAGATTGTGCACACAGAGTATATATAAGGAAGCTACTAACCTTACAACAAAGTGAAGGAACCTGAGCCAGCCAAGACAATCATATATATCTCCTATGCATAAACCTGCTTTGATGCACGGCGTACAATATCAAAATATCACAAAAATATGGTTCCTACCACACAACACCTGTTTTATCAGAGCCGTATAGAAAAAAACCTAAATTTATTTTCATTGTATTTTACAGCATTCTTACAATATCAAAAAGTTTATTAATTCGCAGACTGCCAATATTATTAAAAAAAGACAAACAATTTTAAAAAATACTTAATTATAAGAATCTAACCATAGGAATTCAGGGTATCTGTTTGTATCACTACTGTACCAACATGAAAGATATCCAAAGATTGTACTTCCAATAGCCACAAGTTTAAGTGGTACACTAGAAGTCCCAAAATATTTAGAATGCTCAGGATAATATTGCCACTACCATCTCAACATTTCATAACCTAGATGGATACTTAGGCTATATATCTGTAATTCAAGGTAGTGGAACTCCAACCACAGATTCAGTACACAATATATCCACATAGATAATCATTATGAGGGTTTTATATGATAATGCAGAGGCACACTGCAACCACACATGCATATGCATGTGCACAACCTAGCCTAAATTCGGCCATAGAGCACAAATAACTGTCTGTGTTAATTAAAAGTCCACACTGGTAAACACTCTTGTTGCATGGATTATTTAGCTAAGGTTTAAAGTGCACCAAAGTATCTTTCCACTCAAATGATAGGCATTATTGAGCCAGGTTTAAAGTGTGCCAATTTACTAACCTTGTAGCTTGGTATAGAATGCACGCTCCAGCATCTGAATGCATTTGGTTTATGTCCAATGGTTTTATGTCTGTCTTATTTTTGTTAGAATTTTTAAATATGCACACTAGGTAGGAATAAAACTGCATCAGGTGTGCATGGCTATTACTAAAAGAAGACTGTAAAAAAAATCAAGGCTAAAAAGCCTTATCAAACCATGTGAATAATGATATTGTACTGTACACGTGTGCATCTTTGTGCACATGCACAGAAAATCAAGCGCTAGCTGGCATATGAGATTCCATACACTGGCGCTGGTCAACCTGTTACAGCCACATTTCATTGTTCAGCAATAGGCATGAGCATGGTCCAAACCTGAGCTTCTCTGAACAAGGAAGTGTCATGGGCATTTCCACTAATCTGTTTAGGTTGAGCATTCCAAACCTGAGCTCATCTCTACTTAGCAAGCCAATCACAGTTTAAAAAAATAGAATCTTACTTCATTTATAAGTAAAATGTTGAAATTTTTTAGTGCACCTTATAAGTGCAGAAGACAGATAAGCTTTATTTGAATGTTCAAGCTTATGGCAAACTATGTGCACATTGTACGCATTAAATATCAGTGTACAATAGGTTCAAGGATTGCAGTAGCAATGTGCACATCTACGCGCACCAGGCATAGGGGAATATACTATTTAAAAAGATACTGTACCATGAAAGCATTATACATTTTATAACAAGTAAAAGTAACCTTTTCTCAGAAGATAAACACAAATGTATTTCACATTTAGATTTATATTTCCAATAGTATATAAATTATATATGAATTGCATATTTTAACAAATGCATTATTCTTTATTTGAAAGTATTATACGTATCCTATTCCAGACAAGTTGGGTCTAAGTCTCCTTAGTTTATTTTTATGCTTTGTTACTGTCACTTAGCAGTTGTTTTTCAAATGATGCACATTTCTAAAAGAAAACAGTTTTCCAAAGCAGCCATTTGGTCAGTTTAGAATGGAAACCTGTTAGTGGTTGCTTTGGAACATGTTCCAATTTTCCATGTCCTTTTATCAGGCAGACATTGTTATTCAAGGGAATGGAGGATGTGTTCTTTTCATGAACTTTTATAGACCAAGATGTACAGATTTCTCAATGTAAACACACAAAAGGAATGCTTTCATACAATCAGGGTTGTCTCTAATTAAAAATAAACAATTATATTTTGTTGTATATAGAGTAAAAAATCAATTAACTATTGAAAATTTTCTTTTTCTGTTCTACATACAACACATTCAATTTCTTTTGGAATTTCTTTTTAATCACTAATGCTTATTAAAAAAGTTTTAGTAAAATCAAGAAGAGCATGGTAATAAAGAAACAGAAAGTAACTATCCACAAGGGAAACCACATGTAACAAGTCATCATGTATCTTAAATCTAACAGGTCAACCTAACAGGTCACTTTGACCAAACAACAAGCTGCATATAATAAGAGGCTTCATGGCTTAAAGTTGTGTCTTCCTGCTTACATTTCTGTGTGGATATTTCCTGACATTATAATGCAGCTCCTTGCTAAATGTACAGAATTACATTGTGTGCATCTATACATCAGATCATATATATTATATATCTTATATGTGGTTCAGACTATTAATTCAGTCTTTGATGTCTAATTGTAAATATTACCCCATTGTTAATAATGAAAGTTGCTGCTTCTCTGCAACCCAAATATCATTATAAAAATGTGATTAAAAGTTCAAAGCAAGTTCTCCTTTATTTGGTAGCTAAGTAGTTCCAGGTTGAGCAAGTCAGGACACTGCATGTGCCCTGACACAAGAAAAAGACAAAGTGATCAGGATAGGTGCTGCAGGCTCAGAGACCATGGGTTCATTTACTACATTTTCAGTTAGTAGAGAGAAGTAGTGGCCACCCTATCACGTGCATGTGACTTCTAAATTCTTGGTACTTCTGCATGTCCCCCTGTCTCTTAGGCATTTTTAATTGTCTAGTGAGGCAGCCCATCATAGTGAAGACTGAATGCAAAAGTTTTGGATTCAGTTCTATTTTAAGGATTTTGCAGGCATATGATCCACAATTAAACAATTATACCAAGCAGATGCTAATGATCAACAAGATAGCATGTTGGTTAAAATTTAATTATTAAATTAAACAAAATCAGCTGTGTAAGAGGAGTGAAACTGGATGAGGAAAAGCTATGCTCTACAAACTAAGTCACAGACGAAAGTTTATTGTAAAAAATCCTTTTCTTGACTTTTTAAATTTTGTTAATGTATTATTTTATATGGCAATGCAGTGATCCTGTTGCTGGCAACATTTTGCTAAGAGATCACTCATTTTCTTCGACTGTGTCACTTTCTTGCTGGTTTTATTCTGATTTTACTACTTTGTTGGGGAGCGAGATACTGCAGAATGTCAAACAGTGTATGAGTAGATGAAAGGTCTCTTGAGTGACCCTGTTGCTGGCCATTTTCTAGCAGTGTAATATGGCCCTAAAGGGTAAAAACAAAGATGTGATACTGCAATGAAGTTATATTTATTTTTCCATAACTGTTTTAATAAATTACTTCTTTTTTTTTTGCTATGAGGGGTTATCCTAATGGGTCAGACCACTGAAAAAAAATAGCTATGGCTATAAGCCGACAGGGTAAACCACCATTTCGCTTCATATATGTTCAAAAAGCTCCAGCAAGATCAGTCCACAAGGGTATCTAGCTCGCTCCCCCTTAGTGGAAGCTTGTTCTTCCTGATAAAGGAAGAGAATCTCCATGCTATTCCGGGATTTTTACATGATGTAAGAAAAGCATTTAGAGAAAACGGCAGATCAGCAGACCTGTGTAGAGGTCTGTCTCCGAAAAGTCAAACAAGATTTTGGCCCCATTTACTTTTCATTACATATCAGCCACGCCAAAACTAAAATATAATTTTTGGATGTGCAGACTTTCTTAAATTTGATCATTTTCACACATTCATATAAAACAATCAGAATATGTATAAAGGTTGTTCTTGTGATTGTACTACGTCCTTTTTGTTGTACAAAATTGTTTTATGTTTCAATGGCACAAAAAAGAAGCCGTTCAATTTAAAACAAACAAGAAAGAAGAATTAGTGTGATATTGTTTCTTATTATATACCGAGTTACATGCTCTCTAACTGAATGAGACTGAAGGCTATCACCCTGTAAGGCTGTGACTGATGTAGCAGACATCAGCTATAAATATAAAGAAATTAAAGCCTTATATCTCCGAAATACCATGCATCTCCACTAACAAGCTTTAAGAACGTTAACATCACATTTCCAGAGATAACTAATTTTCTAGTTTACTTCACTGAAACTTATTTAGAGGCCCATTAAATGTGTAATTATAAAGCCTATTAAACTCCTACTGCGGCGTTTCTATTCCATTTGGTAATCCCACATGCTATTATATGTTAGCTGAAATACCTGCGTAAAGCAATCACAGAATTACCTCCATGATAAAATCCAGACTGAATTTGCAGGATCCTTGGAAGTGTTTTGAGGTCCAAGGACTGAATAAATTTCTGGAGCGTAGTTGTCATGGTCCAAGGTTAGACATGCACTCAGCTAAAATTCATACTCTGAAAGAGCAGAGGTCTAGATCATCCAGCTACAGAAACCGTTTTAAGTTTTTTGGGTTACACACAGGAAGAGACTTTATATGTCACAGACTAAAGCTCAGTTCCTGTTCTCACCTGCCTCAAAACTCAGATAGAGCTTTGTTCTGACACCTGCAAGTAGCTGAGACCCTACCCTGGATATCCGAGTCCTGAATCTCTCCGAATTATACCCTTAATAAAGTACTATTCTAGGCTAATAAAAAGCTTGCTTATAGTCACGCATGAAGGAATCTATATCAGGTCATTATATGACCGCCTGGATATTACGATTCTATTATGGACATTCACTCTACTGAGACTTCCACCACTCTGATTGAATATCTAATGCTGCAGCATAACAACTGTTTTTACAACATCTGATAGAGACAGCAAAAATGTATTTGCATTATCTGTTAAAAAAAATCTTTTTATATATATAGATAGATCTATATATAGAATGTGGGATGATTGTTGGTGCTCGGAGCCATGGAGCGAGTATCAGCAAACCAGCAAAATTAGTTAAATGTTCAAGTGCAGCTGTTGTTAAAGTGTTTAAAGACTGGACTGTCAGATGAAAATCTGGGTCTGAACGTGGGAATTGTGGCCGTCAGTGACTAGTCAATGTTAGGGCAGAACGGAGAGTGGCAAGACTGGTACAAGACAACAGAAGGGCAACAGTGCATCACATTACTGCAGATCTTAATTAGGGATCCTCTCAAATGATCTCTGAACGCACTGTTCGCCATACACTGCATCGTATGGGATATGGAAGCCGAAGGCCTGTTCCAACACCTATGTTGTCTGCAGTTAACAAGATAAAACGTCTCCAATTCGAACAGGAACACAAGGATTGGACAGTCGAGCATGGGAAAAAAAGTAATGTGGTCCGATGAATCACGTTTCCAGTTGCATCATGCAGATGGCAGAGTGAGAATTTGGCAGAAACAGCATGAAAGCATGCACCCCACATGCATGAGTACAAACCTTCAAGCTGATGGGGCAGTGTTATGGTTTGGGGCATGTTTTCCTGGCAGGATTTGGGCCCTTTAATTCATGTGGAACAACGTCCGAATAGCACAACACACCAAAGTATCGTTGCTGATCAAGTTCATCCTATCATGTTGATGGCATACCCCAATGGAGATGGCTTCTTCCAACAAGACAATGCGGTGCTCGTATTGTGCAGGAGTGGTTTCAAGAACATGAGGGAGACTTTACCTTGCTTAGGTGGCCCCCACAATCACCAGATCTCAATCCAATTGAGCATATGTGGGACGAAGTTGAAAGAGCCATCAGGCAGCTGGTTCCACAGCCATCAAATCTCACAGAACTGGACAGTGCTATTCATCAGGCATGGTGTCAGATTCCTTGCATCACCTTTCAACATCTCGTGGAGTCAATGCCAAGAAGAATTGCTGCAGTATTGAAGGCAAAAGGTGGCCCAACGAAGTACTGATGGGGTGGTCATAATAATCTGGCCACTATATATATGCATTCAGTTGTTCAATTCTTGCCATTGCTGCATACTCTAATATAGCCAACAGTTATTTAGTTTTTTTTAATAATAAAGTAAAACTCTCCAAATGCCATAATGAGTATGGTTTAAAGCTGTTTATATTTCCACTGAAGCATACAGATGTTCTCTGTTAAAGCTGATCTCTGGGCAAATAAAAAAGACAAATTAATGCAGCTCTGTATAAATTAATACAACCATAAACGGTATTTCTTTGAATGTAAGCAGTACCTGAATGTGACATCAATCAGAATGTAAAGTAATTGCCCGGCTTCCTGATTGCCCGGGAAGCCGGCTCCATGCCAGCGGAAGCACCGGTATCTGTACTCGGTATCGGCGAGTACCGAAACCATAATATCGGTTTTCTACCGGTTTTCAGACTTCTCACATGAATGTAACCATCCTATTCCACACAAACTCTAGCAGTGTATTTTAGAGCAAACAGCTATTGAAATAAAATGTCATCTAAAAAGCAATGGAAGGAAAACTGAAAAGCAACATTCCAAATCCACCTCCTCACAAATTTGTTCTGGAGATAACAGGGAAAGTATCTTCGGTAAAATCAAAATGCATCAGCACAAGCACAACGGCTGCTTGGGAGAGAGGGTAAGGGTACAGGACCCCCAGGATGTAATAGATTCCAAAAATTATAGAACAAAGTATTTGCAGCCTTCACAGATAGAGGACCTTTAAGCCAATTTCAGCAATCTGTGTCTTGAGCTGCTGGCTATGCTGTAGTTGATGCAATACCTACCAATCAATTTTAGTATAGATCACCATGCTTCAGTAGAAGATCAACTTCTCAGGCACCTTCTGAAGTCACTCTTTGTCATCTCCATCTTCAGCTTCACTGGCTGAACCTCAGACCCAGGCCTCAGTCTGAGGGCATAATTTCCCTTCTTAGGGAGCATGCCTAGTAGGGTCAGAAAATCCACATCACCCTCCTCAGGCAGGAGGCCCCAAGGGGGGAAAAAAGACTCTCACATGGTCAACCCCGAATATTTAGGTCTTCCTCCAGCATGCACCACTGGCCTTGAACCTCTTAGTGATTGCCTAGGGAAACACAGGCATTCATAACATTTTTGGTTGCTCTTCTCTGTGGCAGGTCACACCCAGCAGCAGGCAGATGCAAACAATAACAGAGAACTTAGGAGAGACCAAATGAGCACAGACTATTAAATCAGAATCAGACCGACTACAATCTGCCAGCTCTAAATTTAAAGTCACTCCTGCTCAAGGCAGGTGGCTACATACCTTTATTATTTCATTGGGCAGCACTGCCATGAAATGGACCATAGTAACTCATAAGACCTAGTCAAACAGTACTCTGGCATATACTTGTCTACTAAAATACTTGTCCTACCATGTTGGGACTTGTGAGGCAAAAAATAATTTAAATACAGTTAAAATCAAAGAGTCTGATTAATTTCCAACGGATCACCTCAAAATCATTTAAGACTTTTAAGTTATGTTTACCTACCATGGTAGTATACATTCAGGATATCTTACGTTCTTTCTGCTGCTATGCCTAATCTGATATTTTCTAATGTATGATGTGGATAATTTTTCAAATGAGGGAATTTAGTTGGAAACTGCATTTCTTGGTTGGCTTTGTTTGACTTATACCTTCAATAAACTTTAATTATGTAAAAAAAAAAAAAAAATAAGGAAATAGTTTCCTTAAACTAACATAATGTTACAGTTCAAGTACAGTAAAATCAAACACAGTGATGAGGTATATAATCATCATTACTGACTTTACTCGTGATTAGAAGTGATGGAAGCTTCTCCAATCAGCTATATGTAATCTTTTACTTCCCAATTCACAGTCACAGTACAGTCAGCTAAAGAACACGCGTCTTGCTGTTGCAGATAAAAAGGATCTACTATGTTAAAGTAACTAAGCAAGCCAGGGACAATTTGAAAGAATAAATGTTGTCTAAATTAGCATGTTAAAACTCAAAATGAAACACCAAAGCAGGGGGAAAAGAACTGGGAAAGAGTTGCCTTATTTAAGATATATTAAAATCAACTCAAGCACACTGATTAGTTTAGATTGATATCAATCATCTGGGACAAAAATAATACAATTATCAAAGAATATACCAATCAATACAGCTTTCAGGCACACCACTAGCAATGTCTGTAAAAGGAGATTTTGGTTACATCCTATTTTGTGCTAGAGTGTGTCTGTCCATATCCCTTTTAAAGAGCTCAATCTGCAATACCTGCTAAACAATCCTATTTTTCCAATGTACTCATAGCAGCCTTCAGAAGTCTACAATCCTATTTTTCCATTGTACTTATGGCAGCCTTCAGAAGTCTATCAGAGTATGGCGCATCAACAAGAATAAGGTAATTTCACGTGTGCAGTAGGAAGTGGGGCCAGCCAGGGGCGTCCCTACACTTTTCGCTGCCCGAGGTGTGGTGGTGGTGGTGGTGTTGGGGTTTGCTGGCAGTGTACATTAGGGGGAGGGGAGGGTGGTGTTAGCAGTGCATGTTATGTGCGGGGGGGGACTTGGATGGGGGTAACATGAGCCACCAACACCCCCCCAACCATCTAACACCCCTTTTAACCTGCACCGGCAGAGGCTGCACCTTCCCATACCCGTGTTCCACCAATCAGCGGGCAGCATGATGCTGTTGCTAGGGAGGTTATTCTAAAAAAGCCCCGACTGCCATCTCTGCAGCTACCTTTGTGAGGTGGAAACGTGTTGCCAATTTGCAGTGAAATGGGGAATTATGAAGGGAGAAGGGGAGCGGTTAGGACTCTGGGGGCCCAGGGTGCCCTTCTGTTAGGTGGGGGTGCACAGTACCTCTGTTTGGTGTCCAGCCCAGCTCACTGATGTCACTAGTTGCCAGGAGCTGGGCTGATGCCAGCAAGAGCATCCTGCTCAGCTGCTGGCAACCAATGATGTCAGTGAGCTTGGTGGGAAGCCGGACAGAGTGTCACAGGTTAAGAGCTTTTAGCAACTTGGGGCTCTCTGACTGGAAAAGGGGCGGCAGGCAGGCAACCGACTCAAGCTGCCTCATTGTAAGGACGGCCCTGGGGCTAGCCATGACATTTTCCCTGCAAAAGCTGTGTGATGCTGGACAGGGCCACTGAAATGTGGACAAAGGGAAGTATTTTACCAGGCAGGCTGCACTTAAAAGCGGGGGGCGGGGGGGGGGGGGGAGGGGGCTTATAGGAATCTGGGTGCCCCTTTTAAAAA